TTCTGTTTTCCTGCTAAGAAGTTGGTGTAATTTATGTTTGTAGAAGGTATCTATTGCTGAGACCATTGTATGAAAATAGACATGAGAAAAGAGAAGGAGCAAAAACAAAGAAAAATATTGTATTGCACTCAGTCACTTCCAACAGTGACTCAACTCTAAGTCAATTGTAACAGCTACTACTTATGGGCCCTCACTCTGCGCCAGGCACTTGCCATGCATTCTCACATTCTTACATTTAATTCTCAAAATGAATCCATAAGGTAGGAAGTAGCATTTTCCTCATTTTAGAGATGAGGGAGGTATGACTCAGAGATGCTAAATGACTTACAGAAGGCCACATCGTGCATAAATCATGGAGACATAACTTAAGCATAGGTTGCCCTGACTACTAAGTCCTAACCAACCACTATACTGCTTCTCATAAGAGAATAGAAAAGTCCAACTGCTGAAGAAGACAGTGGCCCCACCAGCAACGAGAACTTGGAACTTAAGGACACTGTGGAACCTGCTGAAGAGGAAAATGCAGAATCACACAGGAAATATAGAAGCAGGTGGCGGCTCCAATCATTTATCTGAGACTAGGAAGATAGTACCCAAGTCAAAGAAGAATGGATGGTCAATGAGACTACATTTTTAGTTAAATGTGTTTACTTTTATAAATCATTATATATATTTGCCTATTTAGAGATCAATTGTTTTCAAATACATCTCATTTTTTTAAGTCCCAATTAGAGAATGCTTGTATAGTACAAATACTCGTCTCTCCCAACCCCTACCAATCATAATTACTAAATTAATATTTCCTAGTTTCTTCTCCCTCTCCTAGTTTTGCCAGACCCTATTATTTCATTTACAGTAATTTTCATGACTTCTAGTTATAGGAAGTATTTATTCATCTAGTTAGTTACACATTGTCTATCTCTCATCCACTATAGAGACAACAGGAAATGCCATGCAGAGGTCTTGGCTCACAGTAGGAGCTTAAAATTATTTCTCCTGATTGAATAAGTGTTCTGTAAAGGATTCTATTTCCTTATTGACTAGTAAATGTTTTATACGTTTGGCGAGCATTAACTCCTTGTCTACCCAATTTATTACTAATATTCTCTTGTTTTTCATGTTCCTTTATTTTTTATGATAGGTGTTTAAAACTAAAAATAAGGTGTGCTGTGATAATTTAATGTTTTCCTTTTATTATTGTAATTTCTGATACATATTTACCTATTTGGTGTATCTTTGAATGATTTGATATGTACTTTTAGCCATTTAATGGCCTGGAATATATTTTTAATATATGATGTAATGAGAAATTTAATTGTTATTTTTCTAACTAATCTATTTTCTCAAATTCTGATCTCCTATATCTCCTATTTCCTTCCCTATATCTTTATGATGTTAATTTATAACATAGTAATTTAATATAATTAATTGGCTTATACATTAGCATTTGCTCCATTTATTTACCTATTAGTGCTTCCCTGTTTTAATTATTATTGCTTTATAAAAATTACATTTTCTAATGTGTTCTAATATCCTCCAAAGCAAGGCCTATCATGTTCTTTTTCCAAATATTTTTTTACCACTCTTGCCTGAATTTTCTATATATGGAACTTTAATATTTTACAGTCTGATCCATAGCAGGTTAAGCAATCTTCTCCACTGAATGATTCTCTGATACTTTGAACCGACTTCTTGGTGACTTCTCTCTCCCTGCAGCTCTGCACTTACTTGGGATTTCATTCCATGAGTGCATGGCAGCATGCACATTCCCCAGCCATATTTCCTGCCGTATGCTTTCGGAAATTTCAGGCTCTGAAACAACATCTAAGCAGATTACAATGGAACAAAACCCCCAAAATCAATGGAGTAGAGTGGAGTGTCATCTCCACTAGAAATGAAGATTCAATTCAAAGTATAGAAAAATTACATTTGAAAATCTTTCAAATTACCTACTTAGCTTGACATATATGGTTTTGTGTATACAACATGAATAATATTATAGCTACATTAAAGTATGTGATAATATATATAATATGCCATAATATAATAAATAGCACACTTATTTAAGGGAATGAGAATTATCGGTACTACTTAAATTCATATTTTCTCCCTCCCACCTCTCTCTTCTAAACTTGTTTATTTTAATGTATATAAATTGAATGTAAGGCAGTTTCACTCTATCTGCATGGTAGAGACAGGCTTCCTGCTTCTTGAGTTATTCTGTTTCTGGATCTCTGATTTAGGAGACAAACAATGTGGAAACTACTTTTTAAATCTTTATATCTTCTTTCAGGCCACAAGTTTGCTCTTTTGCAAACAACAAACCATATGTAAGACACAGATTTTCCTTCTCAATTTGACTCAATAGGTCTTGTTTAATTTTTGTCCTGGATTTTTGACAAAAATTGTACTATCGGGCTTGAGTTTTTGGGTTTTAAGTTTTCATAATCTTGTGTGTGTATGTGCACGCACGTGCATGCATGTGCATATGTGTGTGCCTTTGTCCTTATATGGGGAGAAATTGGAAAACACTGCATCTGAGGCTGCTAAATAAAAAATATATCATTATATGCTTCTAAACTAGTATTTAATACTTTTCTGAAGAAATATGTCTCAAGTTTGTGTAAGGATTAACTTCAACATCTGGAATTTCTCAGTAGAGTTGTTTGCAGGGGTGAGTGTGATTATATGAATTAATCATTATCCATTGTGGGGGTCTTCGGTTCACTCACATGTCTCCCTCTCTCATGCCAACTGGATTTGTTTCTCTAATACTAAATGCTCAATATGATTAGCTAATTCAACTTCCTATTTAATAAGAAAGCAACAATTTCATCCTTGCCTCTTAAACCATGCTATTGATTTTTAAATCTGTCCTATGAGTGATTCAGAGTTTATGGTGCAGGAGAATGATATGGTCATATTTGTATTTTAGGAAGAAAACTGGCCACAGAATAGGGAGCTGAAGCCAAGAAAACAGTTGGGAATAATTTGTTCCTGCTAGCTAAATATAGAGCTTGCCTGCCATTGCTTTTTGCTTATTAAGACAGATGAGGAAATAAAAAAGGAAGTAGGAAAGGAAGAAAGCTAAAAGAGGAGGGCAAAAGAAAACATGGGAACAATTTATATGAATCAAAATTAGGAGTAAGGAAATGAAGCTTCCATTTCTCTCACCTCAAGATCCTGCTGGCAGCTCAAGCCTGGACACCTGGAGCTACCTATTGGATCCCATCTCCTGGTTTTTCAGACCTTTCTCTCTTTTGCCTCTCACATCTGATCTTGTCACTAAATCCTTTTTAATTTAATTTTATTCTATTCTATTTTTGAGACAGAGTCTCACTCTGTTGCCCCGGCTGGAGTACAGTGGTGCAGTTTTGGCTCAGTGCAACCTCCATCTCCCAGGTTCAAGCAATTTACAGCTATTTTTTGTATTTTTAGTAGAGACAGGGTTTCACCATACCAGTCAGGCTGGTCTCGAACTCCTGACCTCAAGTGATCCTGCCTCGGCCTCCCAAAGTGCTAGGAGTACAGGCACAAGCCACTGCGCCTGGCCAATCCTTTTTAATTTTAAAAAGACCATTTTTCATTACCCTCCCTGCCATGAACAGCAGTAGAACCCTTAGCATGTAATCAAGATCCTGAGTGGCTTCTAATTCCCCATCCCTGTTGAATGCTTCCCAATGACGATTTTTCCAACTCTCTGTTTTTATCATAACAAGCTTTGCTCAGAAGCTTAATTTGGAAGGACAAAAGACAAATTCTCAGAACAAATTTTAAGAATAAATCTTAAGACTCCATCCTACCTACCATCATGAGTACCTATGGTCATCGTTTTCCTCCTGTAAACCTCTGTGGAATCCTCATTTTTTATTCTACACATATCAAAGTCCTCTAAATCTTTCAGAGTTGAAAGTACAGCATAAATTCTATTTCCTGTTACACATTTTTTTGGTAGGTAGGGACAGGCCATACTTCTTTGTTTCATACAAGGACTTGAGATTTTACTGAGAAAGCCTTCCTCATTTCTCAATGCATATTATTGAATGTTTAGCAAGCTCTTAAAAACAATCCAATAGTTCCCAAAAGAAACATAGTTAGTTCAACTCCACCAATATTTATTGTGCCCCTAACGTATACAAGACATTGTGCTACACATTGTCTGGATCTCAGATGCTTGCTCTTGAGAACAACAATTAACAAATGTATTCATTGGAAGACTTATTTCCACTTCAATTATATGATTAATAATTTGTGACTTTTCAAATAAGATTCTCTTCTTTCATGAAGTTTGTGAATTCCAAAAGTAGGAAAATTGTGATAGAAGTTACATAAGTGTGTTTAATGGCACAGATTTCACTCTTCACTGCACGAATCCACGTTCAGAAGATACCGAAAAGTAATCAAGCCTTTAACATTGCACTACACACTTAGTCTTGATGTATGTATTGAAAATTATTCTGTACTTATTAGAAGTGTCTTCCTCAAGGGGCTGGAAGTTTAGGAAACTATGATGCATCCATCTTTCACATCACCCTTATAAAAACACCTGCACTCTGCTAAGACTTCTCTACCATTAATTTTAAAAGGAAGCAAAAGTAATTATTCTCATTACTGCATCTGAGATGAAAGTTTAACAAATGAGATCTTAATAGCAATACCAAGAAATGGGAAGCCATGAAGGAGACTGCCTATAAGGCAGTAGACACACTTGACAAAAATCCTAAACTAAATGTATGATTGTGTTACTTCTGATATTTACACCAAGAACCATCTGCCCTCTGGTACTCTTAGCAAAAATTATTAGGAAATCAGTTGTAAGGAATTAATCGTTCCATTAGGCAGGAAGCATAGTTTTCCAAAGTATGGAAATTTTATCCCAGAAGTATGTGAATATCACAGTGAAATTAAAGGATTAAGCCTCATAAGAAAGCAAAAGTACCCTATGTTAAAGTCTTTGGTCAATGCTTTCTAATTCTTCTTTTTCATATCTTTAAATACAGAATCCCCTTCACCTACAACTGAGTTTAGAAAATTCATTAAGTTCTGATGCTGATGTCACTGTCTCAATCCTGACCATGAACAACTGGTACAATTTTAGCTTGTTGCTGTGCCAGGAAGACTGGAACATCACCGACTTCCTCCTCCTTACCCAGAATAATTCCAAGTTCCACCTTGGTTCTATCATCAACATCACTGCTAACCTCCCCTCCACCCAGGACCTCTTGAGCTTCCTACAGATCCAGCTTGAGAGTATTAAGAACAGCACACCCACAGTGGTGATGTTTGGCTGTGACATGGAAAGTATCCGGCGGATTTTCGAAATTACAACCCAGTTTGGGGTCATGCCCCTCGAACTTCGTTGGGTGCTGGGAGATTCCCAGAATGTGGAGGAACTGAGGACAGAGGGTCTGCCCTTAGGGCTCATTGCTCATGGAAAAACAACACAATCTGTCTTTGAGTACTACGTACAAGATGCTATGGAGCTGGTCGCAAGAGCTGTAGCCACAGCCACCATGATCCAGCCAGAACTTGCTCTCATTCCCAGCACGATGAACTGCATGGAGGTGGAAACTACAAATCTTACTTCAGGACAATATTTATCAAGGTAGGATGCAAAGTCTCGGTTATATCCCTATTCATAGGGCTGTGACAGAGAGTAAAATTCCCCTATCTGACCCCTTTGCAGAAATCTTGACTCTGAGTAGCTTTAAACTTTAATAATATTTCTTAGAGGATTTCTGGTTATATAGGCTGGTATTTCATGATATGCTATCTGTAATTTGATCTACAAACTTGTAAGTACATGGTACAGTGGGAGTGCTCAATTCTGCTTTAAAACTTTGGTGTAGCGTCTTACTAGCTGCTGTGTTCTTAGAAAGTTATTTAAAAGTTCCAAGCCTCAGTTTTCTAACTAGCAAAATAGAATAATGAAGAACATGGTATAGTATAATAAAGATACCATGAAATTTATATATGAAAAGTACCTAATACCATGCTTAGCTTATAGTAGATGCAAAATAGATGTTTCTTTTCCTGCCCACTCTTTTCCATATCAATAAAATTAATAAAATTTCTCTAAATCTATACAAAGAAAAAAATTAGTCAAGCAAGAAATGGACTTTTCTTTCTCCTCCCTGGCCTTGATGCTTAAGGCAGTGTAGAGTAGTAAAGGCAAACACTCTTGAACTCAAGTTCAGACTCTCTGAACTTGAAGTTTAGCTCTGCCACTTACTGCTTGAGTGACTTCATCAAGTTACTTAACTTCTCTGAGCCTTAATTTCCTGTGTTCTATGTTCACTTATGTAAAATGGATATAACAGTAGATCCTATTACCCATAGAATCATTGTTATTGATGATTGATAGATAGATAGAGATAATAGATGATAGATAGGTAGTAGACAAACAGGATACATTAGCAGAACTAAGAGTTCCATGAGAGTATTATATATATATACATTTGTATAATATTATTTATTTGTTTATACATTCATAATTATATTTGTTTATTTTTAAATTAAATACCTTTCTGCGCCAGTTCCTCATATGATTCAGAAACTAGAATGAAAATGTCCATTTAAATTAGAATATAACACATCATATGGAAATGGTTTTGGTGATTCCCGGGAAAAGGGGAATATCCTTAAAGAATATTTCATTAGGGCTTAGACTTTCTTCTGAAAAAGGATCACCTATGGTCAGAGAGGCCAAATCAGAAGATTATTATTTCTTCAAAGATGAAGTTTTCCCTGTAGACTAGGCCTTGTTTTTAGGCCATCCTGGAACAGTAGCATCTGACTATGTTGGGGACTATAAGGCAACTTCATAGCATCTTACCTTTAAAAAAGACATGATAAAAGGTCAAGGGGTACGAATAATTGTACATTTAATTATATATGTATAAATTGAGCACCTACCATGTACAAGGCAATATGCCAAATGCCATATGTAAGGGAAAAGTGAAAGACTGAACAGAACCTGTAAACTCCTTAAAGAATGTTGTTAATAAAATAAAATTATTCAAATATATTTACTACAAATCTATTAATTAAAAAATTGGATGTTCTATCATCATCGGAACTTCCCACTTTTCCAATATTATATTTTAATTTCCACAAGATTAAAATACATGCATGTTTTATTTTATAGCCACTCTCCAGATTTAATCTACTGTTTGCATGCTAGCACATAATTAAGGTTCAGAATTGTATCTAAGACAAGAAACATTCTCCTTTACAACAAACATACAAGCAAAGCTTTGATTTATAATTTCAGATAGTCATTGTTTTGGAAGGACAGTCATAAACAGCAGCCAGGACAAACCACTTATGAAAACTACATTGAGTTGCTTAGCATCTTTCTGTCTCATGTAAAAAGGAGAATGCAAGAAAAATGATTCTGTTTGAATCCTAAAAACATTTAGAAACTACAGAGAAGAATATTTGTTGACTTAAGTTATATATACCTTAGGGTCTCATTTTACCAGATCAAACTGATCTTTCTGGCTCCTCAAGATTTAATTTATATTAAAATTACGTTCTTCCTTCCACAAGGATCTTATGGCATTTTGTATATAAAACTATATAATGGTACTTGGCCGATTCTATCATCATTATTTGTCTATGTGTCTGACTTCTGAGCTAGAATATAAATTCTGTTAAGTGGAGACGCTGTTATTCAGCTTTATCCAATGCCTAGCATATAGTATGCACTTAATAGATATTTATTGAACTTGACATAGAGGCCGGGCGTGGTGGCTCACGCCTGTAATCCCAGCACTTTGGGAGGCTGAGGTGGGCAGATCATGAGGTCAAGAGATGAGACCATCCTGGCCAACATGGTGAAACCCCGTCTCTACTAAAAATACAAATATATATATATATATATATATTAGCTGGGCATGCTGGCGCATGGCTGTAGTGCCAGTAGGAGAATTGCTTCAACCTGGGAGGCAGAGGTTGCAGTGAGCCAAGATCACGCCACTGCACTCCAGCCTGGTGAGACGCCATCAAAAAAAAAAAGAAGGAGGAAGGGGAGGGGATTGACATAGAAAGAAAGAAAAGTAACTTTCTGTTATATTTACATCCTACATCATCTGGTGCTGTAGAAGAAAATGGGTAGTTGGTAGATATTGTCTAAATTAAGTACTTTTTTAATGTACATAAATACTTACTGGATGATTTCTGTTTGGTTTTCTTTCTCTCTCACTTGCTCACTCTCTCCTCTCTCTCTCTCTCACTCTCTCTCTCTCTCTTTCTCTCTCTCTCTCCTTATGGTGTGATGTTAGGTTAGGTTAGTATATAACCTCTGCCCTCGTGGCTATTTATTCCACAAACTTCGAAGCTATAAAAGAAGATTGTGAGGTTTGAAGCCCAGCAGTAATTTACAACGGGTCAGTGACAATATTTTCATCAGGATTAATGTGTTTGAGAAATGAACCCAAAGAACTTCAGGAAGTATGCCTGAGACTTTTTAAACTCCTGAGGGATACAAGCAAAGAGAAAGTTTGAAAAGTGTTCAGAAACAAGTCAACGAAAATGAGCAAAACCCAAGAAGGAGACTTTATAATGAATAACTGAAAAGTTGCCTTAAGTCATAAAACATCTGTGGATTTTCCATCATCCTTATTTATTTTGTTTAATACAGTCTTTTAGAAAGTTATTCTCAGTCCATAATTCACATCTGCATACAGTAATTTTCTTAATTGTTCTTAAATTTTGTAAGGCTGACCCCACTTCTTCACTGCATAATGAAAGTTGGGAGGATAATGAGCCATGAATAGCGGATGTCAGAGTTATGCAAGTTTTCATTTCTCACACAGTCACTTTCAGTTTGGGCTGACAGAACTGTTAACATCTTGAAATGTTAATGAAATCACCAAAAACATGGCATTTTCAGCTAGGCTTTTAGATTAGAAAAGTCATTTCTCATGGCAGACTACATACACGTAATTACAGGTATTAGAGATTTTATTCTTCCTAGGTCTCCACATGCCAGAGCAAAAGTCCATCATAACTAAATGCAGACAAAACATTCAGGGACCAAGTTCACAGCATGATCTTCAACAATCTTCAACAATATATTTACAAGTTTGTTTTTTTTTTTTTTTTTTTTGAGACGGAGTCTTGCTCTGTTGCCCAGGCTGGAGTGCAGTGGCGTGCAATCTCAGCTCACTGCAAGCTCCATCTCCCTGGTTCACACCGTTCTCCTGCCTCAGCCTCCCGAGTAGCTGGGACTACAGGCACCCGCCACCAGGCCCGGCTAATTTTTTGTGTTTTTAATAGAGACAGGGTTTCACTATGTTAGCCAGGATGGTCTCGATCTCCTGACCTCGTGATCCACCCCGCCCTGGTCTCCCAAAGTGCTGGGAGAGGTATGAACCACCACGCCTGGCTACAAGTTGTTTTTTAAATGTTAGTTATTTGGAGCAATTATTGGTGGAATATTATTTTGAGAATACCTTTATGAGCACATATGAATGGATGTTTTTGCCCAGCCAATGACCACGTGTTGAACTACGGTGGGGTAGACAAAATGAAGACTTGAATTCTGATGTTTAGGAGCGGACAGTCTAGTGAATGAGGTCGAAATGTAAGTAAATAGTTATAAAACAATGGGATGTGTGATTTATAAGAATAGAGATATATTTGGAAATACAGAGGAAATAATTAACTCTTCTCAGAGATTTGGTGATGAGGGAAAAATACTGGAATTGGATCCTGTAGGTTTGGAACAAATTCACAGACAAAGGAAATTACATATGCAAATTCACCAAAACCTGAAAGATAAATTTAGTATGGCTGGAGCATTAATTGCATATGAAAAGGATTTAAGATGATTCTGGAAAAGTAGTGAACTTGATAATATACCACACAGAGCTTGTATGCCAAGCTAAGGCATTTGCATTTTGTATGCAGAGCGGATGTCAGCTGAATGGCAGAACATTAGCCCTGACATACTTATAAAAATCATAATCCTGTAACAAATTAACCAGATAAAGTAATATAGTATAAAAGCCTTGCAAGTAATTTTTTTTAAAACATTAGGATATAAGCATTGTTTTTATTTCTCAAAATTGGTTTTAGCCTTGCCCACATTTACTCCCTTGCTGCATTCCGAACATCGAACTCTGGGGAAAGTGAATAGGAGTTTTGAGAATTTATCTGCTGTTCCCAGGATTACGATTTGCCCATGCTTGCCTAAAGGCCCTAAGTGCTAATAAATTCATTGTTCCTGCAGAGAAAGCTCCATGGGTTGGTCATAATCTGGTCACGAGCACTTATCTTTTCTTTAAGAATTCCAAGAGTCCAGACACTGACAGACCCCTTGTTCCTCTTGGCCTAAGAAGTCCCTGACTCTTTGACTAATTAGTCATAGTTCTGATAGTTTATTCTAGCTTCTAATTGGGATGTAGAATCCTCCCTTTCTTCTTTGAACAGCTTCTGCAGTTCTGTTCTGTATCCCGTGAGAATTGAATCAAGTAGGCAGTGATTAATTCATTCCTTTCTTCACATATATTTGCTGAAGTTAACTAATATGAGGTCAAACTCTTGTCTGGAGACACAAGGAATAGAAGGCAGGAGGCCGTGCTGTCAGTCAGGAAGCTA